AGAACAGTTACTCTCCATGATCTGATAGGCTTTTTGTAGATCTCAATGGGAAGAGGATCAGATTTGTTACAGTACTTTGACCTCTGGCGGTTTTTGGCACCAGGTTCAGAAACAGAATGTTTTTAACTGATAAAAAACATGGAAGAACATGGGAGTAGAGGCTTACTGTCAAACAGTGTTGAGATGGATGAGAAGTCAAGATCAATTCCTGTGGAAACTCAGAGCATTTCGACCTCTGAGTTGGACAAGGGAGACCATTTTGATCCCAAAATATTACCGCGATCTGAACTAATATTTGCTGCTCGTAACTTCAACACCTCATCTACCAAATCAACAAGAGCTTTTCATGTCTCAAAAGGTGTGAAAATCGTAGTCCCCAAAATTCAAATCTTGATTATTTGCTTAAATATAAATAAAAATGTATTCCCCTGTTGGGTACAATTCTTTATCCTCTATACAAGACAGTCTTCATCATTTATAAATTAGGTTATATTGAAAAAATGCTAGAAAATATGAAACTTTGAGTAAAGATATTATTTTATTTATGTAGAAAAAGGTTATAGATATAAAATAAAATTTAATAGTATCATATTAAAAAGAATATAATCTGATAAAAAGTAAATACATAAATGAACTGTGAATGAAATAAAGTATATCTGAATATACTAGAAAATGTGCAAATTAAACAGATGGATTGTTTTATATAGGTAAAATTTATAACCATGAAACAAACTAAAAACTAAAATTCAAAAACAAAAAGAATATATAACATAATTTCAAAAACAGAAAAGTATGTTTTTTAAAACCTTGGCAGTAATAAGGTAAACAGAGAACAGAAAAGCTTTAAGTGACAAAAATGTAGCCATATAATGCTTACAGACCTACAGTTCCATCATACATGCAAGAAAATAAAAACATGTGCTAAGTGTAACCAGTCAACATGTATTTATATATGGTCAAATTAATTATAGTTCAAATAAAACTTTTTAAACAAATACCAATACAAATGAAAGACCATTAACTGCTTCTACAAAATAGAACTACATATAAAGTATGTCGAATACCCTGTGCTCTGTACAACTTGACCAAGAGTTGCAACAGCAACTTCACGTTTAGTAACAACAGCACCATCCAGCAAAGCTTCAACAATTAATGGCATAAGCTCAGAAAGATACTGCCTCATTGCAAAACCACCCTGAAACAAATCCAGAACAAATGAATTAAGAAATAACCATCATCAAGTGATTAAACAGATTAAGATACTGGAATAAAATCCAGACAACAGTAGATATGAAACTAATAATGTACTAGAACTTTGCTCTCACAACTACTTTCTCTTTTTATTTTTAAACTGCTCAGTGGTAAATCATTCTAAATGGCAAAGCCAACTTTGCTCTCCAACCCTGCATGGCAACTCTCTTTACCAGCTTTATCAATGAATTTTATATTGTGAGACATACATATCTACTTCCCTCAGTTTCTACTAGTGTAGTTATTGATTCTCCTTAACGTTCTAGTCTCTTGGGCTGTATTTGTTTGCAGTACCTCGATCTGGCTTGTCCTAAGTTCCAGTTTGCAACTGCTTGTTTTAATATTTTGTGTAGGTAAATGTGTAAGTGGGACCCACATGTAATATTTTGTATATTTGTAAGAAGAACCAATAAGCATGTTGCCAAATGGTCTTTTGATCTTTCTAGTTTTTAAATGATCTTTAAAAAGAATTGCAACCAATCAGTCTTTGGTCTTTGAAGATCTACCTATGAAAGCCTATCAATCTTTTGAGATCTTGAGCTTTTGGAAGATCTTCCTAAAAAGACCTACTAAACGCCACCTTAATGTTCACATCATCATTAACCCACACACATCAATTGTAACAAGCAAATTTAAACCCCAATGGCTCTCACATGAGATTTGAAGAGGTCGATTGTTTACTCCAATATTGTCAACAAATCATGCCTAAACAATGGGCAGGTTTCTTGGTAACGCTATCACAACAACAATTATATTCATTTGCTAGCACTCTTGCTTATTGACATAATACTTCTATCAGAAAATAGGGGGCTAATATTAGGAATAGGAATCACAAAATCAACAGTCCCATTTTAAATCGCTAAGTCACCAACCCTATTTAAGAAATAACTTAGAACATATTTGGTTGACAAATAAGTTATGCCTATTGATAGAATACTCTCTATCAATAAGTCGGGGGCTAAATGTAAGTATATGTAGATAACCATTGCAAAGCCTACGATAAGGTCATAATAATGCAAAAGTAACCACCACAAAACCTGCAATGAAAACTATCCATAGCCAAAGATAGTACAAACCACATTGTCAACAATTAAAATCAAAGGACTACCTAATTCTCTAAATCACATAAGACATGCAATTATGCTTGCGATGATCTTGCTCATCTCCTTGTAAACAAAGATCTCATTCAAAAGGAATAACAATAAAGAAGCATATTGTGATGAAATTGATAAATATCATAGCATAACCACAATTACTAATGCTATTGCATTCTCTAGATTCATCAGCTCAACCTGATATCGCATGATGCCATTAAGGTAACAATGATGTTAGTCTATTTGCGATATTGCATATTAACCCTTAGGTGCTTGTATAGAAGAGCGTTGTTCCGCATGACCATGAGTGAGCTCTTAAAATGGGTTATAGATATAATTGTACCCAAGTGAGAACTCTAAAGACATGGATTCCTTATCTTAAAGAGATTCTCACAGACATGTGGTGAAACCCTGAACTACTTACACCCGTTATGCATCCAACAAATTATAATTACCTTTTTGGGACAGGAAAGTTTTCCTCTATCTTCTTCCATGTTCCCTCTTATAGCCACGTGTCTTCCTCTATAAATAGGGGAGGCTCGAAGCCCTTCACACAATATCACCTCAATAGACCACTACGAGAGTCCTAGCAACATAACCTTTTGCTTTCCTAGAATTCCTTGTTACCTTGCTCTAGCCTATACCTTTACATTCATCCTTCAGGTAAACCCCTTTGTAGCCATACCTTACAACTTACAACTGTAAAGCCAATTGATTTGTACCCTAATATTGTTGATTTAGATGTTCAAGCTAACGAGTATGGAAATATGAAACCCTTCTTCCTTTTTCCCTTCTTTAAGCTCGCATCTTCATGCTACACATGTTTTGCTTTTATTTCTTTTCAAACATCTCCCTCTACCTCTACCTCTCACTCTTTTTCTTTGTTTTTTATTTATGTTAAATAAGATTCCCAATGTTCAAAATATTAAAAAACAATGTAATTTTTTTGTGTTTGGGCCGACTTGGTTGAACTTGATTGAAATATCGAAAGTATCGAATGACATCTTGTATTTTTCTTTATCACCTAAAAGTTTTGTATTGGGTCTCAACACCAACATATGTCAAGAGATATTACGACATTTCCCAACATTTTAAACCATGAGTAGTATCATTGCCAATGGGTTGGGGTCAGGTGTATTAGTCCCAAATTGATTTATCAATCGGTTTCATATGATAGAACTAGAACTGTTGTATTTATTAATTGGGATAATTGGATTTGACCTGATTAAACTTGATTGCACTTGAGATCTTTAAATACATATTATAAAAATAAAAATGTAAAGCTTTTTTTATACAAAAAAATCTCACTCAAACTCATGTTAGAAATTTTAACTCCACCATATAGTTACAACAATTCAAAACTTCCAACACCCCACCCTAAACACCAATAGCTAGGGGTGAGAATTCGGTTTATTCAATTAAAAACTGAACTAAAACTAAATTATAGAAAAACTAAGATTTTCAATCCGGTTTCGATTAAATCAAAATTTAATAATATATACTCTATTATATATATTATAACATATAACATATATTATGAAATCAAATTTCATTTTATTATATATTATATATAATAATAGAAAGTCCTATTAATTCGGTTAACCTAATTTCTAATTGTTAAGACCAAAACTGAAAACCAAATGAATAAAAAATTGAATTAATCGAACTGATTTAACAAAACCAGAAAAACCAAACCGAAAAAACTGAAATTGAAGTTTTTGGTTTGGTTTTAACCGAATAATGCTCACCCCTACCAATAGCCCCCTTGTCCCCTTTATTGGAATTAATTCCCTCCTATCACTGTTCCCCAATTGTATGGTGAAATTAGAATTTGTTAGGTGGGGGTAAGTGATGTTCCCCTTTTAGAATCTGGCCTTCATAAAAATAATTATATCGATAAAACAAATGTTTTAACCAAAATTGTTTTATATAAAATATATAAAATCTATCCTTTTGGACACAAAGTATAATAAATATTATAAGAAAACCAGGAGGCATTATATATTATTAACAATAATCCGTTCGAATTTGAATTGATTTAGAACAACAAGAACCAAATCTGGCCCAGTTATTAATCTAGAATCGAGAGAAAATGTCAAAACATAATTACTTGGATTGGGCAAACCCGACCCATTGAGCCCTAGAGACGAGTATGTACATTCATTACGAATAGGGTGGATACAAAACAAACATTTCATGAGCTATTCGATCTCGATACATGAAATGTTGGATTTGGCTCGACCTAAACCGAGCTTTAAGTAGAGCTTGAGCCTAATATTTAAGCTTGTTTGTTAATCGAGTCGAGCTCAAGCTCAATAAACCTTGACTCATTATATATTTAAGTAATATTATTATTTTTAAATAAATAATTTTTATAATTCTTAATTCTTATATATAAAACAAAAAAGGTCGATCTCCAACCAAGCCGCCGAATTCAAGCTCAAGTTTTTAACCCGAATTGAGTCCGAATTCAAACTCGAGCCCGATGTTTTTTTGGTGAATCCTTGGCTCGGCTCGAATCTTAGCATTGTGAAGTCCGCCAAATGCTCGCGTGCACGTCTTCTGATTAAGACAATTTCAATTCCATTGTCATTGGATGGCCCGGTCCGACTCGAACTACTGGTTCGGGTTATAGTCCGGCTCACCCCGTCCGTCCGGTGCTCCCTGCGAAGTGCGAAGAAAGAGATATCTCGCCCTCCACTGCCGGTCATTTCTTGAGGGAAATCGAACCTTTTTTCGCATTTCAAATTTAATTTGCAAGTTTTGATTCTGGGATTTAGAGTTTCACGCCGATCATAATTGTCATTGCGGTTGAATTTAGTGCGGATGTTCTTCGCAGAATCTCTAGCGTTTTCCGTTGGACATTCTGTTCGTTAAGCTTGGACTCCTTGCGCAGTGAGAGGTCAATTTATTTGGGGAAGAATATGGTACGGAATTGAATTTCCAATTTGGTTCTTTTCAAATTTTGGGAGGTTTTTGGATCTTGGCCTGTATTGTTGTTTGGATTTCAAATAGCGGAATTTGATTTGATTTGTTTCTTTTTGTTTCATAGTTTTGATGTTGGGTTAATTTTAATGAATTGGACATTTCTTTTTGATGTGATTCGGATCAGTGAATTGATTTGGGAGGATTAAATTCTATTATTGCTATGATAGTCTGGATGATATGAATTTTACATAATTCTGGATCAAGTACTCAGATTTGTCCCCATGAAGTTCTTGGGTCAGTTTGAATCTCCGGTGTTGTTTCCTTAATTCCTTAGGTTGCAAATCCAATATCAGGATTTGGTGCCATGTGGATAGAATACCACTGGGTGCAGAGAGAGAGAGAGAGAGAGAGATCTAGGTTGTCAATTCACAAGAAGCTTGACATATATCGATAATGTTCAATATTGAATCAGTAAAGCTTGACCCCATGAAATAGCATTCTATATCTGAATCTTAACATTTACCATCAGAATGTTATAAAATCATTTACATAAAAACCTGTTATTGTTATTTATTGAGGTTCAGAGATCATATGCTCTGCCTGTGCTCAGAAACTAAAGAATGCTATTTCATGTGATCTCTTAACCTCAAGAAAAAAACTAGCTATACGCTGTTTCAAATAAATTTATTTGAAACAACTTATATCACCTGTTTCTATTGCTTCCAGTGGTATTTTCAACACTTAAGGGTAATTTCAATAGGAAAAGCATAAGTTATCATTATGGGTCAGTAAGGTATATAGCTGCACAGCACACAAAATTAACATGTCTAGGCCCTCTTGTGGGCTTTAAAACATTGAGAAATTGGTAGGTTCTTTCTTTATTTCCTTGTTTTTTTGGTAACAATGGTCTATGATACTGAGATAACTGTACAAAGATGCATATTGTGTTGGATACTTGATCTTTTAATGTAATTTTTTTTATCTGGATACGTCGTCCATCCATGTCCTTGTCATATCTGGGTAACACAGTTCTCTTTGTTTATTTTTGAAAACAACTTAATTGGGGTTGGTGACATAGTTTCAGAAATGATGGCAAGTGATGGTTTGTCTGATATCTAGATTATTACTATGACTTGGTAATATGCCATTCATTTGAATTGTTTTCTATGCAAGAGTCAAGATGTCTACATGTTGTAATATCCTCATGCCACTTAACATCCCCTTTTTTGTGACTCAAGGTATAACTGAATCCTTATTGTCATACTAATGAAAATAAAAGATGTTTCTTTGATGATTTGTTTTGGGTTGCTTAATATAAGTTTGGTATTTTTGCTGGATTTTAATGGGATCTCCCAACTTGAAGGGTGCTTTTTTTAGATAATCATTTAATATGGCACCCTAGGATCAGGAAGGTGACAAATTTCAGTTATGCTGTGTTTGATTCCTTTGAAAATAAGTGAGAAGCAGAAAGTTGAGAGAAAGTTCTTAAGGAATTTCATAAAATTCCTGAAGGAAGTGAAGGACTTCCCCACAAATTTCCCTTTCTCACTAGTTTCATGAGAAACCAAATGCAGATAAGCTTGGGTTTTGTGGAGGAATGTTATGGGCCCGGGAATAGGATCTCGTCACGGGTCGGTCCACGGGGAAAACCTCCTGTTTTCCCTTGTTCCTTCCTGCTCTTGATGAACCTATCTTGGTGCCTCTGGGATTTGTCCAAGAGATCACCAACTCTCCTAACTCACTTCTTCAACTGAATATTCGATATCTTCATTCAATAAGGGTGTCTCCTTAAATAGGAGATTACAAGAGTCCTAATCTTAGGGAGACTCCTTGCTGATTAGGGAGATCCCCCCTTC